TGGATGCCATCCTGGTGTGGGATGTTGGTATATAGGCTGGTAACGTCCATGGTGGCCAGGAGTGTGTTGCTGGGAAGGTGGTCTATGTTTTTAAGTTTCCATAGGAAGTCTGTAGTGACTTGTACAAAACTTGCTCTGTGGGTGACAAGCGGTTTTTGGATTGATTCAATGAAACCTGATATTTCCTCAGTTAGGGTCCCATGGTTGGATATGATAGGTCTGCCAGGGTTCCCTTGTTTGTGGATTTTAGGGAGCATGTAAAAAGTCCCTGGGTTAGGTAGCGGGGGGATCAAGGTCTGTAGTTTTTCTTGTAGTCTTGATGGAAATGATTTGATGGTATTGTTGAGTTTTTTTTTTTAAGTAAGAGACTTGAATTTTCAACATCAGAAATGTTTTAAAGGATAGTACTTAAATTATTAATATTTGGTTTAGAATTTCTTGTAATTATTTTTGAAGGCGGTACTCGTATTCAACCTGTTTCTCATCTTCGTTTCTATATAAACAAAAGACACTCATTTTACCACACATCAGTTACTATGTGCCTGAGACACTCCCTTCATACGCTACAAGTCAGGGGTGGGCAAAATGTGGCCTGCGGGCTGGATGTGGCCCACCAGGCCATTCTATCCAGCCTGCACGGCCCCTAAAAAGTTTAGAAAATTAATATTTATCTGCCCCTGGCTGAATGTCATGCGGCTCTCGATGGCTTGCCAAAAGTCAGGAAACAGCCCTCTGCCTGAAATAATTGCCCACTCCTGCTATAAGTAGTAACACTAAACCTTTTAGAATAAATGTTGTGCCTAGTCATCACATTAGTTTTTATGCACATATATGATTTCAGTTCTGGAGACGTATTGTTCAAATATACTTAAAATGAAAATCATTTGGATTGCATTGCCTCAATTCAATACTGCTTTTTAGGGTTTTATACATATCACAAATTTAGCAAACCTATTAGCTGTATTTCTGATCAGGAAAGGACAGGATATATTATTCTGAACATCAAAATGAAGATATATGGTTTGAACAGTTTTGAAAGTATGTCTCTAGTATTTTATGAATTCTAATATTAACTCATTTTTTCAAAACTGCTTATTTAGAACAATTGCATTTCATATACAGAGCTAAGTTTTACATGATGCTAAATGCCACCATCATTATGATGCAACAGTATTTGGAAAGGTTTGGTTCTGTGGGCTATGCATTTTGAAAAGTATTGTCACTGTATTAACTTGAATAGAAGATGACCTTGATTATAAAACAACCCCCCAAAATTAGATTTTATATATAGAAAATTTATAATTGTCCAGGTATAGAATCTAATTATTAGAGATTTGCCTTGAAGTTGTCCCCTTCTCACTGTTACAGCAGGGGAAATAAATCTGGGGAATCAGGTAATCCCTTGGCTCTCTGCTTCCCCCCAAATTTTTCCCCTGGTAGCCCCTTCCCTCTCTCCTTACTGTCAGAACCTGTTCTCCTTGAACACACAAAAGCAAGGAGAAAATTTGAAAACAATCGTCTTGCAATTAAACATGGCTGTCACAATTTGCATATAGTACACATACAATTTAGTTAATCCAGAATTGATGCATGTTTCCTTTTTTTTGAAACTGCTGCAAGTTTTAGCACCATAAGCACACTTTTGAGCAGCACTTTGGCACCTATTTATATGTAGTACACACTATCCATGATTAGTCTAAAGCCAAAGGCTCCTGATTTACTACATACTTCACTGGGGTGGCCCCTGCACCTAGTTTCAAGCCTCAGTGACCCCATGACTTAGCATTGCTCAGAGAGAGAGAGAGAGAGAGAGAGAGAGAGAGAGAGAGAGAGAGTGTGTATGTGTGTGTATTCCACACACTCCCCACAGAGGATCCATGTGCTAATTACCCCTGCTCATTAATGGAACTTAGTGTTGTTGTCATGAGTGCTGGAATTCTCCAAAACTGTTTATGTAGATGAGGCACAGCTGATCTGACTTCACCTCATGGAGGGCAGGGCCTCACTAATCATATGTGCCAGACTGAGAGAAGGCCT